TTATAACATAACCAAAGTAAAGCGCGCGCTCTGATTGGTCAATTTAGCGTCCCCCATTTGCCCATGGGTGTACGCTGCTGACGTGAGCAAATGCAAAGACTATTTTTCCGCGCGCGCTTGTTTTTTCTGGTCGCGTAAGATTTGTTAAATAAAAGGGAACTCTTTAGCTACAATGTATCAATGTTATGTTATAAAACAAATGGTAAACACCACAGCGTACACTATTGAGTTATGGATGCACTTGGGAGGTTTGCTAAGCACTCAAGAAGCTAGAGTCGCTCTCGGCTATCGCCTCACGCGACTCTTACGCTTCTTCCATGCGTAGCAACCTCCCGCATGCATCCATAACTCAGTAGTGTACACTGTGGTGTTTACCATTTGTTAAATATATCTATTAAAATACATGAGCAGAATATGATCTGCAAATGCAAACTTGACATAAGTCCAAGGCTGTGCTCTAAGAAGAATTGAAGGGAGCCAAGTGCTCTGAAACTGTGAAATCCAGGGTGCCCAGCATATGCTGGTGGTAGTGTGGCCGAGTGGTTAGGGTGCTGGACTTGTAATCCAGTGTCCCAGGTTCAAGTCCTCCACCCTACCACTCACTGAATTCATTCTTAGTTGCCCCTAGTTCAACTCCTCTTGTACAGTCCTGGGCTGGGTTGTTCAAGGCATGGTTAACCCAACCCAGGGTTAGCATAAATATTTAATAAAGTTTTATAGCTTTGCANAGCTAACAAGCCAACTGGGAGCAGGCCGTTAAGTTGTTAAGTTAAGTTAAGTTATCATCACGGGTTTATTGAATTCTTTAAGTTCATTCAGTCCTATGATTGTGGAGCAAAAGATGTGCTTAAGTACAAGTACGTGCACCTACAATAAGGTTATGGTAAAGAAAAATACAAAGACCATGACTCAGTGTTATCTAGAACCTAGTGACCCACAAAACCAAAGCTAATACTGATGGTGGCAAAGACTATAGTGACTGATACTCCATGCCCAAGAATTTGCCTAGTCTCCCAAACATTTTCCAGTACCTTTTTGTCATCTTTTGTGGAATTATAATTGCAGAGATATTAAGTAACCACCTACAAAGAAGAGAAGGGGGAAGGGACAGAGGGGAAAGGCTTCTCAAAACATCAGTAATTATTTGTAACCATTTAACTCTCAGAAGTTATTAACATGTAACTTCTCCCTCTGATATTCATACATTGTCCACCAAACAGGTAATGAGAAAACTCAAATTTATCAGGTAGAACAGGGCTCGACACTTATGGTAGCCCACTAACCACAGACTAGTAAAAATTCAGTTTTGGCTAATGGATTTCGGTTTCCACTAGCCAGTTTGGCTGGTAAACGAACTGACATTGTCGAAGCATCTAAGATGTCACCAGCCACTTGGCTAGTAGATTGAAAAGTTAGTGTCGAGCCCTGGAGAAGTTGTTGTCTTGATCTACCATTGAACTCTTGTAACTAATATACAAGGAATTTCTGTAGCATTTAGAGGGAAGAATTAACAATCACACCTTGGGATTTTAAGGTTTAAGCCCTCTTTATTCATCTCCACGATTATTTTGTAGGTCTAAATGGAAAAGGTAGATTTGGTGTCTGTGTTTATTCAATTTGAAACCATAGAAATAAAGTAATTCATTAAGGGAACAACAAAAACAATACAAGATTAAGTACACAGGACCAGGAACAGGACCCCCTCCTTTGCTACCCACCATCCTGTTGTAGAAAAAAACTATCCTTAGAGTATTGTGTTTGCATGCAATGTTATGTTTTCTGCTGATTCATCGTGCCAGCTTTTACACAAAATGTCTCTGTAGGAGGTTCAATAAAAAATTATTTCAAGAAGATGCCTCTGATATTTAACTTACAGTGTTATCACCAACATAACAAGATGTTGCTCCCAGGTGAATAATGGGAGCAGCCTTGGGACAGCACACACCAAATGTGTGAACATGTGCCATGACATCATGTCTACGTTTCTTCTCCTCTGCGGCAGCCAGGCTGTAGTCTATATTTTTCAAGTTAGCTTCCATTTCCTGAATTTGTTCATCTGTGATTTCCAATCCTAGAATCTTGAGTAAAATCAAAACCCCAGTCATGAGAGATTCCAAGTCATAGAGGCTACAATCAAAAGCCTCAATGGGATGAGCTTTGGGGAGAGACGCTGCCCTTAATAAGGGCAAAGGAAAGGAAAACATATCTTCATTTGCCTGAGGAGAGTTGGAAAAAAAATTGAATATTTGGCAAAAGCTTGAGGCCATGGAGGATTGATCTAAGATCAAATCCCCTTGAATAGAGGTGCACCCCGAAAAAGAGGTGTTCAAAAGGGGGTACGATGATTCTCAGATATAAGATCTAGAAGTACTAAAATAAGGCTACCTTCTCGGATTTTGCTAAGAAAAGCCACAACTTCCTCCAAGTAGAAAATTTCTTGTCCTCAGAGAAATTAAACGCCATTTCAGGACTCGCATAACGACTTGTGAGAGGACTTCGATACACCGCGTGGACTGAATCTCCCGCCATCTTGAATTTCAGAGACCGCGATTTCGCTCAACATGCGTCCTGCAGCGGTTACCCGCGTAAATGTAATGGAGAACACAGAAGGTGCAGTGCACTACACTTTTGCCGACAATTTCGCTCCGTATTTTTTGCTTGTATTCTGCCCGATCGTCGTTATTTTTTGCCTTTTTGGAATATTTCATACTTATCTAACTACAGAGGTGAGTAATTTGAGGTTTTTTTCGGCAGGGGGTAGGAATTTTGAGCTCAAAATGCACTATTATTACCCACTATCACAGTTCTCAATGTTCATGTACGTGCATACAGATACTTGGCGATGAACTTAGGCGTAAGTTCATCGCTAGCTTTGATACTTTACATGAAATACTAACTTATCCACCGGAAAATCGGCACTTAAAACAACTGGTAAATTATTTTGGAATTTCAACTACATTTCGGTGGGAAAAAAACATCTATCTTAGCTTGAATTATTCCACAAGATTGCAACTCAATGATGCTTGATGTAACATTTTGCAGAGGGGACTCTTCTCAGCATTGGGTTCAGGCAAGCCTTTTCCATCCATGGGGAGGTGGGTGGGGGTACTTCCTTATTTGGGCTATACAGGGATGTGCTGCTGGACAGGGCATGGGTTTTTGGCGTGCTACTGGACAGGGCACGGTTTTTTGGCCTGGCTGTCCTGAACAAGGTATACAATTTACTTGCCTCTGTCTTAAACAGGGTCAGAACC